TATTTTCTATCAATTGGCACAGGTCCATAACCGATGTTTTTTAACATCGATGTTTGTTTTGGGAACATCGATGCTTTTAAAAGCGATGTTGCATTCCTAATTGTAGCTGTCAGAGATCAGTGCTGCCAAACTATAGGCAAACTAGTGGCAGTACAAAACGAAATAAATGGTCAGCAGGAAAATTTAGCATAATTGCGATTTTTATAAAATTCCAACCTTCATATCATGTGAGAACGTAATTCCCAGCCTTTTTTAATTAAAGCTAACGATTAGTTAATTTATATATCCACTCAAATATTTACCATTTTTTAAAACATATTTTATAAAAATATATAACATAAAGTACAAAAAATTTATTTGGATGCAGCCAGGAATTTCAACGGCGGCAACTCAAAAAGCCGGAAGTTCATCACATTGGCAATGTAACGGCTTTTAGAAATAAAAAATGCAGCGAACGGTTTTCGGTTATTCAGTATTCCATATTATTTGAATTTGTCAAAACGCATCCTGCAAATATTGAGATGTGATAAAGAACCAAAGCCGAAAAATATAGACAGTGCCAACTCGCTGCTTCCAGCATTACAAGTGCCAACACAGAAGACAAACCAATACATTTTTATAGGAAACTTGCATGGGTAAAGCGATTGTTGTTTGTGCTATGTGGTGTATGTGTGGCTGTGTTGTGTGATAGTAGCAGAACCTACGGGTCGATGCGGTTGCCATTGAGTTGGTGGTGGGATACTGGGTCGTCTGTTGTTGGCGCTTGCCTCTCTGCTGGGCGGTGGTACCTTTCAACCATTGTAGTTCTTCAGTGGATACAACAATAGGCACACTATTTGCCACTTCTGCTGGCGTCTCAAGCCTGGTCGGCTTTTGTACCGCATATTTTTGCATTTCCAAGTATTTTTGCCAAATTTGCGGTATGCTGCCAACTTCTTGGTGAAAGTCTTGAAATTGCAACTTTAGACTGCCGTCATCGACATATACCTGCCGTGTCAGTTGATAGTGACGATCTTGTATGAGCATATTCCGAAATCTGATTACTCCTCCGACTGTAGCAGGGTCTTCTTTGGCAGCATCTTCAACTCGTCCATTGACAGCCGCTGCGCCATTGCATACAGCACTCGGGACACTATTGCCTCCCCCACACACGCAGGCCTGCGGTATAACTTGCGGTATAGATTTGTTGTTGATGCCTTCCTTCTTGCTATTGACATCGTTTGGTTGATAGAGTTTGCTTGCGCAGTTCGGCACCGCGCCGCAGACGTGTCCTTTCCCTCCCATCATGAAATTCATCTGCTCTAGCTGCTTCACCTTCTGCTCTAAATTGGCGTTCTGCTTCTCCAAGTAATCATTCTGCATTTTAAGTTGTAGATGTTGTATGCCATATTCGTCGATAGTCGTAGGCTCCACTACATGCCGGCTGGCATAGAGCTTTCCGTGCTTGAAGCGGGTGTGCATGTGGTGTGCGACGTAGCTCTCAGCCAGCGAGGCTACTTTTGCCAAGGCGTAAATGCATGCAAAAACACCCAGAAAGTTCAAATAGATGTCATAATTGTCCAGGCACACGTGCGGCTTGAGGCTTTCTTCAAATGTGTTATCTAAAATCGAAATATTTTGATTTTTGTGTGGCTTAAATCGCAAGCATTTTACCCATTTTGACCTCAACAGTCATTTTCTCTTCCCTCTGTAGTTCAATTTGTTTGAAATAGCAGAGAATGATCCACGTCGTGACCGCCAGCGATATCAAAAATAGAAAATTAATTGAGGAAAACATTTTGACATCTTTGGAATTTTTATCAAAAATAAAAAAGAAAATTTGCAATGCAAACAAAAATTTGATTGATTTCACACGTTTTCACACAATTTCTCCGTTTGTATAATTTGAGACTAAAGGAAAATGTCAAGGCCTGAAGTCAAAATCATGTCGGAATGTTATGGGGAAAAGACAAGTACCTCTGGCGACAAGTGTTTGGGAGCAACTCATAATCAAGTCCGGTCGACCCCAGTACGGCGGGATATATATTTTTATTATTTATTTATTTACTTGTTAATTTCTCATTCAGTCTTTGCACTACCGTTACAATGCATTTCGCCCGCTAATCGACATAATGCCCTTTCGATTTGACGTAGAGGATTTGAATGCTGAGGTGAATTATTCATTTCAGCCCACCTCTATGGTGTTCTACATAAAAACAGGCACTTAATTTTTCCATATTCTTTTAAAATCAATGTATGTACATAATGAATAATATACATTTGTAAGTAGCTTAAATTTAGTTAAATTATTTTCTTTTTTCTAAAATTATTTTACGGATACTTTGACCTTCTAACCAATTCCAATTTACAAGTATTTTCAAACGCTTTACCGACCTTGCGAAAAGCTTTCAATGTCATCGTAGCCGCGATGAGCTAATTTGTATCCAGCGATTGCGTGTCCGAACTGTACCGCCTCTTGCAAATCCTTATCGAGCATGTGTAACGCGTATATGACAGCTGCGCAGAACGTATCGCCCGCGCCTAGCGAATCTACTATCTTCTGTACCGGCTTTGAAGGCACGAAAGCGTAATTACCACGCGCGTCTACACAGGCAGCACCATCAGCACCCCATGGGCATACAATTGCCGGCTTGGCGTTGTTCTCCCCTCGCTGAGGCTTGAATCTGTTATACAAACCCATTACTGCTTCCTCTGGTTTGCTCCAACCCAAGAAAGTTGCCAAATCCTTTCCAAGGAACACACAATCGGCGGCCTCACCCAACTCCAAAATTTCATGCTTCATTTTTTCCAAATCCACCGATATTCTAATACGGCCCCTCGGATCGTTCAGCTGTTTGTTGTGTGCGCGAATATCACGTATGAATGGTAACAGAGACTCAGGATTGCGGCCCTCCAAGTGCACCCAACCATAGTTGCTCAATTTCAGCTGAGCCAAGTGCTCACACGTCAGCGAGGGAAATCCAGGATTCGAATGTATAATAGTGCGCGAGCCAGTTGCCTGGTTGAGTATGACCGATGAAAAGGGTGGATCCATATTTGTACTGGGACAATTCTCTATGCATATTTCACGCTTGCGACAGTCTTCATAAAGGAAACTAAATGCCGGTGAGGCGCTCTGCATGCCCATAAATTCAACATCAGGAGCGCCCAGTTGTCGCAGCACAGTGCAGTTATTGGAAGCATTGCCGCCACGCTGCCAATAGCCAGCCAGACAGCGTTTGTCGGTATCCTCGACGGGGTATTGCTCCACAAGATGTATGACATCCAGTACACACATGCCCACGCAGACTATGCGGCCTTTACATGGCATATTTCTGTTACGACACTCGTTGTTTTACATGTAGTTAAGTTTTGAGTATTATTTTGATGAATTGCTGTTCATTTGTTTTGAAATTAAATTTCACTGCTCACTACACTCAGCGTTTGCGCGTTAGATAGGGTGTGATTGCAAATTATTACACAGCGGACTGCAAGTACAATAACTAAAGGATTCTTCATCAATTTGCAAACAGTTTTAATCGAACTTTGAAATTAGTTTATAAATAAATAAATAAAAATATGTGCTTGTGACGGCAACTGCGCTTGATGAAACAGTTGTTTCCGTTTAGCTACTCAATTTTCAACTAATCACTAATCACCGCTCAGCGTTTTGTTGAAAGTTTTTTTTTGCATTCCTAACTTATCTACATGAACGGACTCTCTGAATACCTCCCAGTTATCGCGCTCAGAAGCCGTCTAACCTTTGTCGATAGTTAAACGTTCACTCAGAGCGCTACTTCTATTGATCAACCGGAGAGCGCTTTAACAAGTTAATAACTGTGCAGTAAATCTTCATTCACACGTCGTATGTATGTATGTATAAATGTATGAATTTTTATAGTTTGTTTCATAGTTAGATGCTAATATTTTTTATTTTGTTGTATTTAATTAAAAAATTTTAATTCGTCTCCTATTCCCTATTCCCCAGACATGTTTCCGCAAGTACATTGCAGATCCGTCTCAAAAACTTACCCTGAAATGCCCTGTATTGCTTAATCGGCATCCGTTTCCCCTCTCAAAATCTATTTTCGCCATTCGAATCACCCTGCGTGTCAACTAATTTTCACCACACTATTGTTGCCACAAAATTGCAAGCAACCGGTTAATCGAATATCCTGCCCATTCTCTGCGCGCTGCTCGCCCACCTTCAACAGGCTGTTCCATTGCAGGCGGTTGTGCGGCCGTTTTCTAACAGCTTCTTGCGCACTACCGTAATTGACCGATACGCTATCCGGCTTTCCGACCGTCATCCGCTTATTTATTTCGTCTGCTTGCTTGGCATGTGTATGGTGGTGTTTGTGTTGAATTTCCGAGTGGCGGCTGCTGCCCATGCAACAGCAATAGCGGGTATTTCTTGGCGTTCGCTCCCACATGGTCGGTCAGTTGGTTTCGTTAATGCCACTTTGAAGCGTACAATTATCAAAATGTGCGGATGCCAAGTGTGCATTCACCAGTCAAGAGTAAAGTGAAGAGGGGCAAAAACGTCATAGAAAATATCAGAAATAAAGAATAAAAACTCTAAACAAGCAATTGAATGAGAGATGAAGAAAACGTCGACTGTTGCTGATGCGACTGCTGCTGTTGGAAGTGATAAAAGCCACAGCCAGCGAGGTGGGCAGTTGTAAAGAGAGTCGCGCGGCGATGTGACGTGTAATTTTCTATTGTTTGTTGTTGACGACGGCGCGTTTTGAATGTGTTTTTTGAATTGAATTGTGCTGCAGTGAATTGACAAATTAATTATCTGCAGTTTGCAGATTTGTTTGGATCATTTGAATTTCTGTTTTGCTTCTTTAAACTCCGGAAAACCACTGAATGCAAAAACGCAAAAATTGCCAACTGCAGTAGCTTCGAATTGACGTTTGCTAATAGCTTTGCTAGAACTTCAATGTGTCAAATCAATGTGCAACAAAACTGACCGTGTAATTCAATTGCATTTTTTATTTATTTTAATAATAGTAAACGCGCTAAATTTTGTATGTAAGTAAAGTGAATAGCGACAGAGTGTAAAAAGAAAAACAAAAGAAAGAAACGCCAAAAGTGGCAAAATATTACGCTGAGGTGCGCGACGGACATTCCTGAAGCCATGATTACAACAAAATGATGGTGAACGGAAAACACTCAACTAACTAAAAAAGTGAGAAAGTGACAACTAAAAAAAAGCAAGTTTAGTGAGCGTACACGCACACTCGTACATATTTAGTGCGACACATACATAAGAGTGTGTAGGTGAGTTTGCCTCCATTAGAGGAAGAGCAATGGCCGTTTCTATTGTGGCGTGTGCTCTTAGTTCAGTTGATCTTGCCAACAGTTTCCGTTGCCGCTGCTCATTCCGTGAATCGTGGTGAAAGAGAGCGGTCGAATCTCGTCGTGGTGGCACCGTGCCATTTATACCCATACACACATACATACAAATGCGCATGAAAGTGTTCGAGATCTGCTGCGGTGGTTCAAGATTCATTCGTTGATAATATTAAAGTTGAATATTTGTGTTTTTTTGGTTTGATTTGAAATTTTGTTATTTTTGCATTTGCCGCAACGCTTTGCGTCGCTTTTCTGTTGCTGGCTTACAGCTGCAATATCAATCAACAAGTGCAACTTATTTACGATGCTCATACAAAGTAGCTACATATGTATGGACCTGCTAGTGTGCGCATAGTAGTTGTAAAAAGTGAAAAAATAATAAGTGAGAATAAATACGACACACGTACATACAAACATACATACATACATATATGTATATAGTTGCACTCATGCCAACGCAATTTAGTTACTCCATTGTATAGCCACTTGTGAAAAGTGTAAAATTTTTGTGATCGGAATTAACTTTGCGGTAAAAATGCGCGTGTTTTTGGGTTTTTAACAGCCCGCAAAATTGAAAAATTCCTGCCAATTGCCGTTAAATAGTGTGAGTGTACCGCATATTTGTGTATTCAATCGAAATAAATGCTTGTAGGTAAACACTTGGTATAGTTTGATTGTTGTTGTTGTTATTATTATTATATGTAGGTAGAGTGTAATCCGTGATAATAGTTTTACCTTTTCGTTTGTCTTAAAAGATTAAAATTAGTTAAAATTTTTATAAATCAGTTTTTATGTACATACATACATACATATGTATTTAATAAGACTTTAAATTGGACTTCCTCACTCATGTACTTAACTTCATTGACTGACTTCAACTTCGCCGTAAATTAAAGAAAGCAAAACATGGTTTTTATATACACAGAAATTAACAGTAGAAAAGAATTTTTGGGTATTCATTCTATTTTTCAGCCGACTACGGTGAAGCAGTCTACTTTGCATTCCCCGTAATGAATCAAAGCAGCGAAATTAATAAAATATTGTAAAACATTCTACTCTGCATTACCGGTAATGCCTAAAAGAAGCGCACAAATTATAAGACATTATAAGGCAATAGAACGCATTGCCACTAAAAGCGATTACCGGTTTTTTGCTGGGTATTTATGAAAGTATGTACGGTGTATACGAGTCTCCCATTTTTTATACAAATAATACATATGTATATCAGTGGAATTTTGTACTTTGTTTGCCATTCCTCTTGTTCGAGTGCGTGTGACAATCGTGCGTTGATAAGCGGTGTCTTTATCTCGTACAGAGTTGCAATTGACATCGATCACACGCTTAGTTGGGTCTTGTAAAAGATCCTACGTACGTAAATATATGAAATTTCGCTTTAAAAACACTTACTTTCAATATTTTCTATTAATTTTATCTCAATCTCTGATATTTCCCTTTTAGCCACAGTTCCCTTTAAAAAATGTTTTCCTCTATTCCATTTCTGAAAATCAATACTCATATTTAGAAGCCCTTCATAGCTGGGCGAAATTCCACAAAAACACACACACGTGTAATACATAGTGCAATTCCATATGTCCGTAGGTTTGTGTGTAGTAGGCATTTATTATTTTATTCCCATTTCTTTGTTTATTCTACTTGTTTACTTCGTTAATTTGTGTTTTTATTTTTAACTTTTTTATTTATTTTTTGTCTTCTTCACATCTCTAGCGCGATTACTACTCAGTATTGTCTTCATAAGCCATCATTTGGGAACACTCTCGCTCTCTATGATCATCACTATAGTATACTTAGCGCCAGTCACCACTCACACTTTAATAGTTTGCTTCTCATCGTTGTTATAATTTGTGAACATTCGAATCGTCGTTGGTGAGGTGTACGCTCTTCAAATCGTATCTGTGTAAGGAGCGTGCTCTCCTCGCTTTCGCTTTAAGCACTTGGACATGAAAATCAGTGTACCTACTATCCATGTATAAATTTACATTTGTACATACGTACAATGATCATATATTTACATACACCCATATGCATAAGTGATGTGTTTTGTACTTAACAGCAGAGACGACTGATAAAAATTGTTATTTATAAATTTTTGCCATTCCTTCTTGCTTCTTCTTCGGCCATCGCGTAGTTTTTCGCTCTTGCCATCGCATACTTTTCAAGCTTATCGGTTTCGGCATTTTTTTCACAATCTCATACAAAGTGAGACAATTACCGACTACATATTTTACTCGGCTAGAATATTCATTTTTTTCGCTTTTTCTGATTTGACGAAAAATACTCGGTGAATTGGCATGATCCTATCCACTAGGTTAAGCAATCTACACTTTAAATACTTTTACTACTAAGTAATCGCGGTGATGTTTTGTGATTACTTTCAATTGTCTATTTTCTTGAGCTCAACCGACTTGAGTACGTTCCCAGTAAACATTTAAGCTTGATATCAAATAGCGAGCAATTCGATAGCAAACCCATTTATCAACACTTGCCCTTGATATCAAGGCTTGATTTGTGCTTGAAATGGGTTTGATATCTAAACCGTTCTAAAACAAAAGGGCACCAAAAAATCTAGTTGAAATGGACTAGATCTAGCTGCTGTTCTCAAACTAGTTGCAAGACTTGTTATCAGCTTGATATTGAGCCAAAAAAGCTAATTTATCTCAAAGGGATTATCACTACTTTTTCAGAGATCACCATTTCACACAACAGTAGTTTTGCTGTTGTTTAACCCTGGGATTCAGTAATTCAGTCTCATCTCAAGTCACTAAATTTGAGACTAGCAATAAGTGACTACATATTTTTGTGACTTGAGATGATTTGGGTATTCAGTAGGAGTCACAAAAAGCTCACCAAAAATGTGTGGTGAAAACAAACACAGACAGTCAACTGATAGCGTTTATGTATGCCTTTTTGCCGCACCGCCCAAAGAGTCGCAATTGGTCAAAGCGTTAGGCTGACGGTCGAGAGATCGGGGTTCAAGTCCCCCTCGGGCGCAGAGAATTTTTTATTTATTTTTTATTTTTTTGGTTAGTTTTATTTTTTTTTTACAATCTTTAAAGTGTTTTGGTTTATTTCCTAATGAAATTGTTGTTGAACAAATTTCCTCGCTTCATTTTCGCGTTTTTTTTTTAATAAAATAGAAAGAAATTATCTTTTGCTCCATATTTTTATTTTTGTGACCTGCTCTTAGCCAGCTGACAACTTAGTGATTTATTTTTGAGACTAGAGACGTGTGACAGGGTACTGAATACCAAATAGTCTCAGAATCCAAATTCACCACCAAAAGTCACTATTAAGGTATCTAGTACCGAGATTCGAGATCCCGGACCCCGGGAGTCCGAGCCCTTTTTTGAGTCCCGAAATACCGGGATCAAGCCATCGGGATCCCGGGATAAAATTTAATTTACGACCAAATTAAAATAGAACTACATTCAGACATTGTAATGGCATAAAATAATTATAAAATGCAACCCTACAAATAATCAAATGAGATATTACAATTCTAACACTACTGTTTCGTATGACGGCGATGCCTGACCAAACGGCTGAACCGATTTCGATTTTGTAAAAAGTACTTTTTTGTACCTCCTATGTGGAAGGTTTTTCGAAACAAAAAAATTTAATTACTTTTGTTGTTGCCAAAAAATAACGTAAGCTGAAACGTCACGATTTCACAATTTCCGGAAAATTTTATTACCAAGAAATGTTACCAGTTCTTGTCACCGCGATTCTAGGTACGTCGGTAAATATAATAATATTCAGCAATTCAGCTATGAAGAATTCTGGAAATTCTGGCATTGCATATTTAACGGGGCAATATTTTGTTACCAGCTTATGTCATGTTAACAAAATTTATCGGTTACAAGAGTACACAGAATGCGAAAAGTGTTTAAAAATTGACTGGAACTATGTTTACCGGTTACAAAATTTTATTACCAGCGCAGAATAGACCGGTTAATGTCACTAAACTACTAAACGGCTGGCCCGATTTGGATCATATTTAGAATATATGTCAGCACCTTGAAAATAAATAAAAATGCGCTCGATAGGTGGCGCAAGGATCGGGATATTCCTAAAAACTGCATTTAATTGCCGATTTGGATTTAGCCAATTGAAAATAAATATTTGGACTAAAAACTTACACAATAGGTGGCATTATGGCCGAGATATTCCTAAAATTCTTATACACTGGTAGAATGATGGATATCTACACATATTTATACACACATACCTCATAATAAAATCTTTACACCCCTCTTTGAAGGGCACCAATATATCTTTTAAACCAACTACGCTGGGGAACTGAAACTTGGCATGGATACATAAATTGTAAATACCCTACTTATGGCGAAAAGGGGTAGGCATTGGAAAAAGGGGCGTGGCATCCTCCATACAGACCGAGATTCGTATATCGCTTTTCTCTGGAACCGCGTATGCTAATGTCCTGAAATTTAACACAGCTACATATGTATGTTATCAATACCGTGCTTCGAAAAATGGCAGGTATTGGAAAAGGGGACGTGGGACGTCCCACACAAACTGAATATTTCATATCGCTTACCTCTGGAACCGCTTATGCTAAGGTCCTGAAATTTAACACCACTACGTATGTCATCAATACCGTACTTATGGCGAAAACTGGAAAGAATTGGAAAGGGGGGCGTGATTTTGTTTTAGATTTTTGGGAAAAGGTAAAGTTTTTAATGAAAATTTGAAGATTTTTTTTTTAATTTTTAAGTAAGTGTGGAACTTTGTCTTTCGTAAGACACTGCCCCAAGTATAATAAAAAAACCACGAAAAATTTAAAAATGTTTTGCCGAAATCTTGGATCTCTCACCCCTCATGGATATTTATAGGTACATCCCATCCTCCAAAGTCAGTAAACTATTTCATAACAGTTCACCAGATACGCGCATGGCGAAGTCTCGCGCAACCGAGTCCAGCTAGTATAGTATATGTAATGCTAAACTGTCAGTAATGCTTAAGAAACAGCTGTGTACATAGCGGATGACTGTGAAATATCAACACAAGTATGCAAATCGCTTAGTTTGACATTTTATGCGGAATCATCATCTACGAGAGATTGACTCTTTTCTGCTACGGTTTCTGTTTTTGCGCATCGCAGTATTTGTAACCGTTAGTTCTATGCAATATGTAGTTGTTGTGGTTGGTTTTTTTTTATGCAAAATCTCTGCTGTTCACTACAATGGAAATTCCGTCATTTGCGGTAGATTTGCATGACCGTTTGTCAGAGTTTGTTTTTTTTTTCCATGGCAGCTTAAATAAATAAATATTATAAAATACTGTCATCATAGTTTTTCTATTGTCTTTGTAAACTGTAAAACCTATAATCGGAATTTGTGTCGCTATTACGCGACAGTAATGACAAAGTGTATTTGGGAGAGTGAATGGCAAAAATTTAAAATGCTGCTAACTTTGTTGAAAATGAAGAGAAATATATATGTATTTAGGTTTATCACTACATGGAAGAAAATCCTTTAAAAATATCAATATTATAAGAAGTTCCAGCTACTGAAAATGTTGGAGGACTTCATCTTTCCTCTCCTTTTCTTGCAGCTGCATTGTTTT